GGACCATCCAGATGTTCCACCTGGGCGATCAGCATCCAGCTGACTCAGGAGGGACGGTTCCTTAAAGGACCATCCAGATGTTCCACCTGGGCGATCAGCATCCAGCTGACTCAGGAGGGACGGTTCCTTAAAGGACCATCCAGATGTTCCACCTGAGCGATCAGCATCCAGCTGACTCAGGAGGGACGGTTCCTTAAAGGACCATCCAGATGTTCCACCTGAACAACCAGGACCCAATCAGCAGGAAGGATCCTGCATTTAAGCAATTTGCCTTCATTTGCATATCTTTCTCTTACATCTTGCTGCTGATCTGTCAATCTTTGCAAAGACTTTGCTGCATCGCAACGCTCTGCCGTTGCCATGGCAACAAAGGTAGAACCAAAGATTAGTCAGGCTGATTTTTTCTCATCATCCACAGCTGTAGCCTCAGACTCAGGCGTGTGTTTGTGGCCACACTGCGGCGTTATTAATCTCTTACCGGGGAAAAATCTACCGCGCAAACCCCTGCCAACACACACACACACACACACACACACACACACGCCTCCTCTCCCTCCTCCCTGCTCCGGGATGCTGCACACCCACCCTTCAGCACTAATTTCTCTCATTCGTCTCCCATCCATCCTCACTTCACGCATACATCACCACGGCAACCAGGAAACCACAGTAAAACCATCCCGGTGGCTGCACTTCACCATCTTCAGCCAACCTGACATCATCATCCTCATCATCATCACCATCATCATCATCATGGACCGGCTGTTTACTCACATTCCTCTCAGTCGGATCAGGACCTGGTTGCTGTGGTTCTGCTCCAGAGTGTCAGTGAATTCTTGAACCTCCTCAGGTTGCCTTCCTTCTTCTTGCAGCTGCTGCTTCTCAGACTGCTGTTGCTCAGTCTGTAGCATCCCCTCACCTTGCACCTCCTCCTGCAGCTGCTCCTCCTCCTTAACCTGCTGCCATTCCTCCCTCACCTGATCCTCCTCCATCTTTTCCAGATCTCTCGGATATTCCTCTCTCAACGGCATCTCCGCGTCCTGAACTTCATCCTGCTCATCTGCTTTGTCTAACAACTCCTCAAAAAGTCCTCCCTCCTGTTGCTCCTCCTCGGTCTCCAGAACCCTCTGAGGGAGCTGTGCCTCCTCTGCCTCATCATTCATCTCAGCAGGTTTCTGCAGAAGTCTTCAGAGAGAGTTTGGTCTCTGTGAAGATCCCTCAAAGCGAATGGGTGGAGAAAACATCGATGCAGATTGAAATGCAGAATAATAGAGTTCTTTCAACTTCATCCAACTTCCTGTGATGTCACTGAACGATCTCAGCCAATCCAAATCAATGCCCTCTGCCCTGTAAGGAGGTGGTGGGGTGAAAGGTCGCACAGATTCCAAAAGGGGTAAAGGAAGGCGGTCAGATGATGACTTCTGTCAGCTGCTCACAGTTCAACTCAGCGCTCCAACACTGCGGCGGACTCAGAGCATCGCCGTGGCAACACAAGGGTAATAAAGATGGGATGGAGTGAGGAAGTGAGAGAGAGGAGGGGAGAGCAGAGAGATGAAGAAGGACAAAAGAGAAGCAGAAAGCATTTGCTTAGCGTTTCCGTGGAAACTCAACAATGGTTGCTAAGAGTGATGGAATCCTGCAGCCAACACACCAGCCTCTTCCTCCTCCTCCTCCTCCTCCTCATCGCCCCACGTCCCACATTCAAAGTAACAGAACTTCAGGCTCGGTTCTGACCCAGAGGGTCTGTCCCGTCTGTCCCCTCCTCTGACCTGCTGTGGAGGCATTGGACCGCGATGATGTCATGTTCCTGTAAACCTCTGTCACTCAGTCAGGAGGAACAGTAATGAGTATGCCCTCTAGAGGCCTCATGGGTCACTACAGCTCCAACAAAGAAGGACTGAGCGGGTACTGTCCAAAACAGGGACCTAGAACAGGGTCCTGGTTCTGGTTCTTTGCTTTAAAAGATAGAAAGAACTTTAAACTGTGAGCTGCAGCTCTCAGAAAAGAGCAAAGGCTGTGCTTCCAACAGAACCTGCTTTAGAAAGGCTGTGGTTCCAACAGAACCCGCTTTACAAAGGCTGTGGTTCC